TCAAGAAGAATTCCAAAAACAGATCAGAGAACTTTTATTACTCAGGGTAATACGAAAAAGTAATAGTAGACATAGGAGTTCAGCTTTTATGATTAAAAATCATACTGAAATAAAAAGAGGAAAAACTCGTATGGTTATAAATTACAAAAGATTAAATGATAATACTTATGATGACAGTTATAAAATTCCTAATAAAGATGTTTTAATAAATCGAATACAAGATAGAAAATGGTTTTCGAAATTTGATTGCAAATTAGAATTTTAGCAAATCTGTATGGCTGACGAATCCATAGAATGGACTGCATTTACAGGTCTGAAGGGCATTATGAATGGTTTGTTATGCCTTTAGGATTAAAATATGCGCCCCAAAAATTTCAACGAAAAATAGATACCATATTTAATAAATATTCAAAATTGTGTTGTGTTTATATAGATGATATTCTAGTCTTCAGTCAAACTAAGGAAGAACATAGAAAACATCTTGAAATTACATTAAACGAATTTATAACACAAGGACTCATTATAAATAGTAAAAAGATGATATTAGAAAAACAAGAAATCGAATTCTTAGGTTATTCATAAAAGAAGGAAAAATAAAATTACAATCATATATTGTTCAAAAGATTTTAAATTTTCCTGATAAATTAGAAGAAACTAAATTATTACAAGCATTCTTAAGATTATTAAATTACGGTCGCAACTTTATTCTAAAATTAAGATAATTAGTAGGACCATTATACTCTAAATTAGGAAAAAATGGTCAAAAATATTTTAATACACAAGACATAAAACTAGTTAAGAAAATCAAATCTTTAGTCACTCAGTTAGAACCCCTACAACTCTCACTTGAAAATAGTTATAAAATAATTCAAACAGATGCATCAGCACAAGGATTGACATGTTTACTTCTTCAAATACCTACAAAATAATCTTCTCGAGAAGAAGAACAAATTTATCGTCATATTAGTGGAACCTTTAATAAAGCACAATCTACTTTGCCATCAACAGATCTAGAAATTTTTGGAGTAACTAACTCTCTTGAAAAATTTCAGATATTCCTCAACAAAGAATTTCTTATAAGAATAGATTGTGATAATATAGTTAAATTTGTAAATAAGGCAAAACAACAACGGATGTGAGATGGATTTCCTTTATTGACTGTATTACCAGAAAATGTTTTAAACCCATATTTGAACATGTCAAAGGAAAAAATAATTATTTAGCAGATATTCTATCTCGTTTGCTAATTCATTGTTAAATTTTGCAGGAATGGAAAAGAGTAGCAATAATAGCTATATCCTTATACCAGGCACTTCTAATCCTCTTTTAATCCAAAACCCAACTCAACAGTTCCGCATTAGACATAATCTTTTTCCTGACCAAAAACTTATTTTAGATAATATTTGGTTTTCTAGAAATAACCCCGATAGAACCCTCGTCAGAAATTTAAACACCTTAAGTGAATATTTTGTAACATCTACTAAAGCATATCATACTCTTCAGCAAGAACATGAGACACTTATATCTCATTTTAAAAAGTTAAATTTAGCATATCAAAATGTAACAGAAAACCCTACAGCTGAATTAACCATATTTGAATAAAGAACTAATGAAGATAAAAATCTTCAGAAAGTTCAATTTCTGCAGGTATAAACTAAGTATGCTAATCTATTACCCATCTTCTCTCTAACTTACAAAGAAATCCTTAGACAACAAGTCGAGTTTTTTCCTGAAGACCTAAAAGAACTAATCCTTGAAGAAGCAAAATCTGATAGATTTAAAGAATGGGTTGATATCCAAAACTACCTCAGAAACAACAGTCCACTTAAAGGAGCACAATACAATTATTATTTCTTATGATTTATACAACAGGAAATTCATACCTACCATAATTTTATTAGATATAAATCTTGTTTTCTTACAGCCCTATAGATATAACCAAAAAAACCTGTTTTTCTACAAAAACGACTAGATGTTTCGTAAGCAAGCTCTTAGAATTAGGAATGGTCAATAGCATTTCTATACCACAAGACATGCCATTAGAATATATAGACGCTTTAGGTAACCTTCCCAATCGATTAAACCAAGCCATTGTTTTAGAACAAAAATAAACCCAAAATTTTATGCTAGATAGTCTCCTTCAAATCCACAGCACTCCTCTAGAATGGGTAAAAAATGGAGATATAATTCTCGGACAACATCAAATTTACATTCATTCCGATCCTACAGAAGTCCTGACCCTAACGAGACATATCGATTTTGTAAACAACTTTCGTAATGATATCAAACCAGCCACCTTTGACCATTTAATGTATTATAAAGCTTATCAACAGCTTAACCCAAGTTGTAACCCTAGTTTTTGACTTTTTGACCATAATGTAAATATGAAAATTTTCATCAAAGTCAGAATTCCCCATGTCATCCGATCTCCTCCAGAGATTGAAGAAATAATAAATGAAGAAAATGTGTTCATTGAGTAGTTCGAAAAAGTTTACAGAAATGAAGAAACCAGTTCACCAGACATCTTACTAGATAGCCACACTGACAGAAATTTGTCCAATATGTTAGAAGTCTAAAGAGCATCTAAAGAAAAAAAGCAGCTTCTCCAATAGTATCAAGATAAAAAACATCTAAAGAAAAAAAGCAGATTCTCCATCAGTGAACAGACTCTTCAATAGTATCAAGATAAAAAGCAAGTCCAAAAGCAGATTAATTTGCAACAGTAGCTAAAAGCAACCAAGATCCACCAAAAATAGATTCCAAAGACAAAAGTCAAGTTGATAACAGTTTAATGATAAGGGTGCCTCGTAATAATTCGATGAACCTTATCTTCAAAGTATCTTACATCTCAGCCATCTATGTCGCATCTGCAATCTCAAGCGTTGATCCATCTCTCAGAATACTCTATAAAAAGAGGCCCTCAGTTCAAGTGAAGATCATCGAGTTTAGAGCAATAAAGTTTAGAGCCATCTCACATTCCAGTCTTCAGCCATAGCTTTCTAGTGTATTTCCTTTGTGATTTCTTTCAGTGTATTTCCTTTTGTAAAATATTGTGTGCGAGTGTATCCATGTATAAACAGTGTGTATCCATGTATATATTTCCTATGAAATAAATCTTCCAGTTTGCTTTTATTCAGAAATTCTTTTTCCTTATTTAGTATTTTTAGTACTTTCGGGCAAAAGACTTCGATCGACAAAAAAATCATATATATAGATTTTATTTAGTCAGACAGTGTAGATCCTAGAATTTTTTTGAATCCAACCAGTACAAGCAGCTTTAGTTTTAATTTAGCAATTTCTTCTGTGAATTAACTCGAACTGTTGGCTTGTTGGCCCATTTTTGCAGGTGCTCAGTCGTTTTTACAAGGCGTTATCAGAGCGATATCAGGTTCGACAGTCATTTCTATGATTTAATTGTTAATTTTATCTCTATGTTATTGCACGCTTCTATCCAGTTCGATTGAATTTAATTTGGTATTAGAGCCTATACTGTTTTGTTAAATTTAATTTATATATAAGATCTTTTGTCCTAAGAAGTCTATAAGTCCATATTACTCTACTGTGAAATTTTAATCTAGTGAGAAAAATATTAAATAGTTTGTTTAAGGATCTTTCCGTAAGCTTATTTCATGTTTTAAGGCTTTTATGATATAAAAGTATTGTTTTGGGTCATTAATAATAATATAATTTGTTGTGTGGTATAAAGCAAAAAGTAGAGTTCATTTTATAGAAATATTTTAGTGGTCCATCCATTTATTGAAACTTCATGACTTATACTTCATGAAGGTGTAGTATAAACCCCTTGTGCCCATGTATTGGTAGTTAGCTCAAAAAGAAAAATTAATTATATGATTGTGACACAAAGAAAGTTCTTTGGCATACTTATAATATTACCTTGACAATTAAAATACATTTTTAGACAATACTTACCTATTTAGTGATGAGTAGATATTTCTTCTACACCCACTTTCTCTATTATTTATTTATTTATTACTTTCTTAATTTTGTAATTAAAAATTATTTACGCATTTATGATTGGACTATATGAGCGGTCAAGAGAGAACTACTACTAATCCATAAATAGATATGTACGATGATCATCCACTTTACTCCTTTTTTTTTTCTTTTTTTTGGGTCTGGGTTAAATAAATGGGATTCTATAATATTATGGATCCCATTAAAAAAGTTGTTCATCCCCATTTTTCGTATAATTTAGAATAAAGTGAAAAAAAACCCTCCTGAATTATATTTAAATTTGTAATTAACTCTTTTGAAGTATATTTTTTGCACAATACCCTCTGAACTATTACATTTTGTTTCAAAATGTCCCAATGGCTAGACAATACTCCATTAAATGACCATGTTACCCTTTGTTAATGAATTATATTTAATTTATTTTCCTTATTGAAATAAATTATGAAAAAAATTCATACTAATTTAATGACATATTCTCCATTAAATTTACATAAATTTACCTTCAATTTTTATAAATAATTATTTAAATAAAAATCTTAAGTAGAAAATTGTAAAATAATTTAATTAATTTCTTAAATTTTCATGGGTATACTGCATGAAAAAGAAGGTAATTTTTTATTTAAGTAATTTATTATTTTTTTTCATGAATAGATTGTATAAAAAGAGAGTATTTTTCTATGCTAAAAAAGTTTAAACTAAGCAAAATAAGTTTTATTATAAATAGTAAAGTTTTAATATATAATAATTTAAGTATTTTTAAAAAAATGATAGTTAAAATTTATTTATTTATTTATTTTTTATAATAATAAAATTAAAGTAAATAGTATAATTAATATTTAGATAAAAAAAAAGATAATAAAATAATTTTTTAAAAAATAGTAAATTTAATGATAAAAGGTAAAATAATTTTTTGTGATAAATTTATATGGCAAATAATACATATAGGTATATAGTTACACACATGAACTGAGAGTGTCAGTGACCCTAGCAAACCCTCCCAAGTAGCACAATATATATATTGCTGCTCATCTTCCAGGAAGTTGCAAGAGGCCTTCTAGTTGCAGACTACTTCTTTCTCTCTCTTCAGTAAAATATATAAATCCATGGATGTAAAGGTCATTTCCACCGGAATCCGGTATGCAAGCCTCCCAGAAAGCTACGTCCGGCCGGTGTCCGAAAGGCCGAAACTCTCCGAAGTGGTTGACTGCGAAAATATTCCGGTCATTGACTTGGCCTGTGGAAATAGAGCCCTCACAATTCAACAAATTGCCCTTGCATGTAGTCAATTTGGCTTTTTCCAGGTGCACAATTTTACTTCAGTATCATTCTAATCAACCCATTTCATAAATAGTCACACATACTCACAGCAAATATATTTTGAGTATATATATATGTATATGTTATATGAGTCTATTACTGCGAAATCCCCTAATCCTGCCAAGTGGTACACGAGGTTTTTGAATGATAATTACTTTTAATAATAAGTTTTTGGATTTTACTTTTAAAGATAAAAAATTGATTTCTGATTTTTTTTTTTTTTTTTCTGTTTTCTTTTCATTTTTTTCGATTATGGTGCATGTCTACTGTTTACTTTTTCTAATTTGTTTTTAACCATGTCGTTTCATGCCTTGTTTTTTTTTTCAAATGAATGAAATTCCGATCTTTCTCCTCCTGCTCCTCTTAATTTTTTTATTTGATTATGCACCATGCATGTCTTGTCAGTCTACTGTTTAGTTATTATTTTTTACTTGGTTTAAATTATTTCATTCACATGTGTTTTTGACTAATTATTATTTTTTACCTTCTATGCAAATTAATCTTTTTGTTGTAGTGAATCGATCAACGGATTGATCGGGTCACGTACTAAGTGTATGTCCATGCATAGCACCTAATTCCATAATTTTTCTCTTAATTTGCCACTAACACGGGTAATCTTAATATCTTCTTCACTTTTTGTTTAATAAATTAATTTATTTTTTTGGGTTACTCGTATCATTCACTTCAATATCTTAGTTCTATTTGTTTTTGGTCACTATTATCATTCACCTCAAATTTTCATGATAATGACATGAGTGCGTTGTTCTTGTTTCTGTTACGTAAAACTACTTTTATATGTATATCTGATTGTTTCTGTTACGTAAAATTACTTTTATAATGTATATCTGAGGTTTTGTAAATTTGTACTAGGTAATAAATCATGGAGTTTCGACAGAAGCAGTGGAGAAAATGCTGGAGGCGGCCGACGAGTTCTTCCAGTTGCCGGTGGAAGAGAAGATGAAGCTGTACTCCGATGACCCATCAAAGACGACGAGGCTGTCAACTAGTTTCAATGTGAAGAAAGAGAAGGTTCACAATTGGAGAGACTATCTTAGACTCCATTGCCATCCTTTGGAACAGTACGTGCCAGAGTGGCCTTCCAATCCCTCTTCATTCAAGTAAGACTCATTCTTTCTTCTCATCACTTCGTGTTTGACTCACCCACAACATGTACAGTGCATGCAAAGTTTTTCAACCTAGTTGGCCAAGCAAAGCCACTTGTTCCCATAATATGCAAGCTAGTGGCAAATTTAGGGTTCGATTTCGAAAGTCGGATAAGTTTAATGTCAAGTCAACTCAATCTACTAGGCTTGTTCCCATAATATGCAAGTGGCAAATTTAGGGTTCGATTTCAAAAGTTGGACAAGTCTAATGTGAAGTCAACTCGATTTACTACTGATTCATAAAACAATTTGATTGGAATCCTCTTCGGTATGCATTCTCTTGCTTTACTTTCTTTGTTGTATGTGCATGCATTGGACACGACCTCATTTGCAACATCTACTACTATTTCGGGAATTGAACACTCAGTAATTTGAGTACACAACATCTATATGCGCTAAAAGTCATAAACTTGTCGTGGAAAAAAAAAAATTCACCACATTCTTCAACTTGAACATTCTACTTTTTAACTGTGAAGGTTAAAAAATATTATTGAAATAAAACTCGTGCTTATCCTTAATTTATAATGATATTCAGGCTTACTAGCTTACTAGCTACTAGTTAGGTGTAACAAAAGAGGGGTTTGTCCCAAATCAAATTTGGATGAAAAAGTGAATATGGGTTAGATGTTAGCCTCATCAAATAATTTAGGCTATGTTTGGTAGGGTGGGTTTGAAGGGAAATGATAACATTAGTTATGAGGGAAAGGGAAAGGAAGGGAAGAATAATTTTAATCCTCCGTCGTGTTTGATTGATTAATGAAGGAAAAGAAAGACAAGTATAATAATCATGTGTGGGAAAAGAAATGAAAAGAAAAGGAAGAGAATTATTTTAAAAAATTTACTATTATACCCTTTTCTATTTAAAATATATATATATAGTCTCCTATACATATAACCCACACAAACATATACATACCTTTTTTATATGTATTTAGTACTAAAAATAAATAGCAAAATTTCAGCAACTTCTTAGACCAAAAATAAAAAATAAAATAAAAAAGTAAAATAGCCCTGTGAGCACATGGATAATGGGCCACAAGAAAAGAAAAAACAAATTTTAGGGCAAATCATTTCAGCCTCCCCAATCTCTCCGCCTCCATCTCTATTCTCGTTCTCACCTCTGAACTTGCTCTCCTCTCTCTCTCTCTCTCTCTCTCTGCACTAAAGAATTAGAAGTTCAAAACCCATATATTTGAGTTTATCTAACTGTCAGCAAGAATCAAAAGTTTAAAACCCATATTGGCATATCATTTCAGATTGTTCAAAAAATAAAAACCCATATCGTTCAGTTTCCATCGCCGCTGTTCCAGTTCGGGTTCGCCGTTTGCAAGCTTCAGTTGCTGTCCGCCGTCTCATGCTCTCTCTGCAACTGCTAACTTGTATGTATCTGTAATTCTTGCTTTGCAAACTTGTGTAATCTGTGAGGGTAAATTTGGCATCAGTAAAGATCCATCAAGCTCTCCTTCCCTTTCCTTCCGTTTTCTCCCATTTTTGGAAGGATAAACAAGTTACTGTTTGAGCCTTGTACTAACCCTCCAAAACCATCCATTTCCTTCCCTTTGCCTTCTTACTATTTTTGACAAACACAAATTTTTAATCATCCTCCATCATCTTCCCTTCCCTTTCCACCCTTTTCCATTGCACCAAACTGACCCTTAAGTTTTTGGGTCAAATTACGAAGTACCCACCCGTTACAGTTGGTATCAAAGCCAGACACAGCCCTTGATCCACTGCCACGCCAAGCGTCAGGTCCAGAGAGTGTCCGGGTTTGCACCCTGGGTAGGTAGGGTGGCCTGAACTGCAATGAGGGCGTTGCGATTTCGGGTGGGAGAGAATGTAATAAGGGTGGGAGTTTGTCTCATATCGGATCCGGATGGATACACTAGCTCTATTTATTAAATTAAAACAATTATGATCATTGATACTTTTAAAATACTTAATATATTTAAAATATTAATGACACTTCTAGCAAAGTAAGAAGGGACTTACAAATGTTAAATATATTTTATATATATATAATTTTTAAAGGTACATAAATAATCGGGGCGGGGGCGGTGGGAGGGCAGGTTCATCACTAAATTCGCTCCCATCTCAAATTCGCTTTAGGTTTTCAATTCTTTTATCATACTCGCCCCAAAACCATTTAGAAGACTATCAAAATTGTCTAATTAGGGGCGTGGCGGGGCAAAAATCCGCCCAATTGGGATAATTTTTATTTTCTTTTCTTTTCGAGCATGTGTATCAACCTCACAACACACACACACACCATTCAAGTCAGAGGTACAGTTCAAAAGCAATAACTCAAGAATTTATCCCCTCCCCCGGAATCTCTACCAACATTGTTATATCCCTAGAGGCGAGCTGAGAGAAATTGTCATTCCTACTTATAAGTTTAAATATATTTTTTCATTATAACACTCCTTCTATCTCGCATTGGGACTTCTTTCTATCCCTTATTGCGACTCTTTTCTTTTTCTAGGATGTCCAAATTAGTTGTGAAAAAGTCAAATCAAATTAATATTATCTTTTCATCATTACTTTTTTAATTTTTTTTAAAAACTTCAAAATATTCAAATTTAAGAATAAATTGATAATTTTAAAAAGAGACAATTCATTAATCACGTATTTCCTTAAAAGTTTCTAATAACCAATTAAGATAAACAACTTAAAAGACTAATAAATAGAGTAGTACTAACAAGAGGAGCCCATGACAATAGTCCATGACAATAGTCCTGAGCTATACATATTTAACATGTTTTAAAAGATGTATTAATAATTCATTTGATTTCTTACATATTTTTAAATATATCTATATATATATATATATATATTTTAATTCAATTACTCCGTATTTAATACGAAGAATTCGTGACTTTTCTTATAAAAAATAATATATTCAATGTGTGTAATGTATTGTGCACTGAGTCATCCCAACCACCTATATGCACGCATCCAAACATGCACAACACAAACAATTGTGATGCAGGGTGCCCACTCATAAGAGACTCTAAAGGAGGGTTTTACTCTTTGAAATATTACGCGATTGATACGACTTTTTCAGTAATTTCAAAAAGTAGTCTTAATCAAATTAGAAAATTCTCTAGCTTAGTTATAGTATAATATATATATATAGAACAATGGTTTTGGCAATTACCGAGGCTTGTTTTAGCTTTTTAAAAAATCAAAAAGTAAAATAAAAAAATTAAAAGAAATGAAAATGCAATTATGCAAGTGACAAAAGTTGCCGTCTGCTATTCTGTCTATGTTCACGAATCTCTGGTAACTATGGCCCACTTACGTTGATTTTTGCAACAACCCTCTAATGGCGTGAGTCGTGTACTACCAATTTATGGGTAAATGTACTACCAATTTTCTAGTCTTCTCGCGACTTTTGAGCTCTCTGGACCGTTGATTTATTAGTGTAAATCTAGAAGGCGATGACGTCATCCATTTCGTACGTGGCCTACATCATGTCCATTGACAAATTCCAGGTTTTCCTCACATTCAACGGCTATTATTTTCACTTAGGATTATTTTTTAGCCGTTGTGGCGTGACGTCAGGCTCTGAAACCGCGTTGAAGTAACCAAATTGAATCTTGAATTGTGGCTCTTGCGGATCTTGTCGGGTAATGCACGGAACAATTTAATATGGTAGCTTGCTAGATGCTAAGTCACCATCTTCTAGAATCATCCTATCGTGTCCGGTGTCTGGATCCTGTAATGTAACAACGCCTTGTACAATATTTGAAAACAACAACATACGTACTTGTAAATTATTCCAACTGTCCATGTGCTATTCGAATTCCGTAATATCATAATTTAGAACCCTATTAAGGTAGTTGAACTAAAATCTGGAACTCCATTCTTTGTGTTTAGATCTGATTTGGATTCGATGTGAATTAATAGTACTCTTTCTGTCCAGTTTAAATGTCGTTTTCAAAAATTATAATTCACTTTGTGTTTAGATTTGATTTAGATTTAATGTGAATTAATAATACTCTTTCTATCTTAATTTAAATGTTGTCTTCGAAAATTATAACTTTACAATATTCAAAGATAACTTTACAATATTCGAAGTCGACATTTAAACTGGGACAGAAAGTGTATATGTCTAGAAAATTAAACTATACTAAATTATTGAATTATTTTGATTTTTTTATAATTACATAGCTTGTTCGATATTTTATCATATATTATTATTATGTTCTGTTGTCAAGAAAAAATTATTTTTATATTTTATTAATTTATCAATAGGAAATATAGAACTTTCAAAGATATGAAAGGAGAGAGATCATATATGTCCATGTAACAAACCTACCACCGTTGAAACTCCTTCCTTGTCTGTAGGAGAATTTAAAGGAGCTGTTGGAACTTAGCTCTACTTTAATGAATAAACAAAAGCTGGGCATATTTAACTATTAGAAATTAAATACAATTATTGTTCTCGAAAATCATAACCATAGGAGATGATTGTCAATATTTAATTTTCATTTAAAATAATTTTTGTAACTCTCAGTCTGATAATGACGTCATCTCTACCATCAGAAGTTGGTAGAATATAAACGACTCCACGTAATAATGTTCCATCGACATTACCTAAAAAAGAATTAGGATAAAGAAGATTTGCTTGCTTTTGGTCAATTCATAAGTTTCATTCATAATATAAATCAAATAAACAAGTAGAATAGAGAGTTATAAGCCCATATCCCTAGGAAAGTTACGAATCCATGAGTAGGCCTGTCAACGGATTGAATTTGAACTGGATCATGGTCAATTCGATCCGAATCTGATAAGCATAATGAGTGATCCGATCCGGTCCGACAATCTGACGGATTTTCACTGAGTTAATCCGTATCCGATTTGTTTGTTTATCGGATGTTTGATCCGATAGTCCGATCCGAATCTATGCAAGTGTACGCACTGTGTGTGAACTCCCAACTACAAATATTTTCAAAAAGAAAATAATAATGATTCATTTAACAAGCAACTGAGCAGTTTTCAGAGTATATATTTATGTAGTCTGTTGCAAAGCATATATTTAAAAGGGAAAAAAAACACAAATTAGGGCAAAATAGGACATGTAAATTATATATATCAATAAAAAAAAATTTTAAAAAAATCTGCATATGTAAATCTATGCATGTGTACGCACTGATCTTCACTTCCATTAAATCTCACATCGTGAAAAAAAATATAAAAAATCCTTCCAATTTCGATCATGCCAATATGAAGAGAGAAGTGAGATCGGATGAGAGAGAAAGGAAGAACACTAACCTGAGAGGAGTAATATTTTGCCGCAGTCGTCGATCGATGGGTTCGTTTTTCTGATTTGTTTTGCAGATCTGCTATTGGGACTGTGGGAGTATTTAGGGAAATGGTGGTTTTGTGGCAAGGATAGCGTGATAGTGTGCGTGAAAGTGTTGTGAGTTAGGGTTTACATAGATTAAAGGAGGAATGGGCTTGGGAATAATAAATGGGCTTAGAGATGGTTTTGGGGCTGGACTCTTATATATATATATATATATATATATATATATATATATATATATATGGGCTTGGAGATGGGTTTGGGACTAGAATCTTATAATATATATATATATATAAAATTCAGATCGGATTATTATTATTATTTTTTATAAGTTTAATTCAGATCGGATTATTATCGGATCGGATCGGTAAAATTCATATCCGGTTTGTTAAGCTAGCAGGTTAACGGATTCGGATCATAAACGGGTTATTGGATATTTTATTCAATCCATATTCGACTAATCAGATCGAATTTGGATCAGAATCCGATCCATTGATAGTTCTATCCATGAGTGAGTGATTTTATTTTATTTTTCACTTTAAATTTGTGATTATGGGCCAACTGAGCTGAAGATGTGCTGGTGCACATATATGTGGTGGGCCCCATGCAACCGATCACATAATTTCCTTCGACAACCTCTGAATTCGGAAAATCTACCATTTTCCTTAGTGTAATATTGAAAAATAACTATACAACCAATTAAGGGTTTAGTCTAAGTGGTATCTCTTTTTTCTTTTAATTCGAAGGTTGAGGGTTTCAGTCAATAGCACATAAATGTGTGTCTACAAAAAACAAAAATAAAAAAGACCTGCCGATCGAAAAAAGGTTCGAAATAAGTTGAACTGGGATCAATTTGACCCTCAAGATCGGATCGGATTAGGCATCAATCCTAATCCGATTTGCTTCCAATGGATTGAAAAATTTGAATCTACCACTAATCCGTGGGACAACGGGTCGAATCAGATCTGTGGAATGACAGATTGGATCGGATTGGATCCACGGATTAGGGTTTTTTTCTAAATAATACAATATTCTTTGTTTTTTAACTATAGCCCCAGTAGATAAAAATTCAATTTATCAACATTCATTATATATTTAAATAATCATTAACTAATACATTCTTAAAGTCCATTAAATGATTATTAACTAATTAAATTAACAAATATATTTTTTGAATATATATATTATGGATCGAATTGGATTTTAACAGTCCAATCCATGAGCTTCGGATTCAATTTTTTTAAATCCACAACTGATCCGTGAGTGTAGTAATCCGATTCGATCCGCATGGATTAGATTGGGTGTAGATAAAATTTCAATTTATCAACATTCATTTATATATTTAAATGATCATTAACTAATACATTCTTAAAGTCCATTTAATGATTATTAACTAATTAAATTAACAAATATATTTTTTGAATATATATTATATATATATATATATATATATATTATATATATATATATATATATATATATATATATATTACGGATCAAATCGGATTTTGACAGTCCAATCCATGAGTTTCGAATTCAATTTTTTTGAATCCACAACTGATCCGTGAGTGTAGCAATCCGATTCGATCCGCACGGATTAGATCGGGTTGGATTTACGGATTCATGAATTATTTGTCCAAACCCTACTCTTAACTCAAATTTTTTCTCAAGAAAGCCTATTGCAACTATTAGTGTATGTGCAATAGTCAATCTAATGCCATTTTTCATTGCGATGACAGATACATTGTGATTAAAGTAGTCTTGATTCCAAAAAGATCAAATGTCATAACTTTCTTTATATATATTGTTCATTTCCTCCGATCTATAGTTCATATCCAAGAATTAGTCTAACGACAAAAAAAAAAAAAAATTCAAATGTAACAACTTTCTTATACTCTTCATTTTATGCTGCTCCTCTATTGCTTATGTGCAAGAATTAGTCTAATGCTGAATTCCATTACATTGACAGGGATTTTGCAAGTAACTACAGCATAGAAGTTCGAAAACTAGGGTTTCGATTGCAGGAACTAATATCGGAAAGCTTAGGCCTCGATAAGGACTGTGTCAAGAATATTTTGGGGGAACAAGGACAACATATGGCCGTGAACTACTATCCGCCGTGTCCAGAACCAGAGTTGACTTATGGATTGCCGGCACATACCGACCCTAATGCCCTTACCATTCTCCTTCTGGACCAACAAGTAGCAGGCCTTCAAGTGCTCAAGGATGGGAAATGGGTAGCTGTCAAACCTTATCCAGATGCTTTTGTCATTAACCTCGGCGATCAAATACAGGTAACTCGAGGTTTTCATAGCGCTTACATGAAGTTTAGATTGATCATGACCTGCATTGAGAGTTACATATTTTATAGAAGACCAGATCGTGTTCGGCTGCATGGAATTGGAGCTTTATAATTGGAATTTGTGGAATTGGAGAAAAGTAACTCACAAAATTGAACCAAAATTTTCTCCAATTCCAATTCCAATTCTAAGGCTCTTGGAATTCCATGTAGCCAAAAAAACCTTAATTTTGAAACTTATGATTAAAAATTCTTTAATCCAAGCCCTTCAATTTCACTCCAGATATTTGAATTTGAGTTTGATTGTTCACCATATAACCTAAATGAATACTGAATTTTATTGTCCTCACATGCTAATCAATGTGGGCTTAGTTTTTTCATTAATAACATGTGTTTTGGGGACAATGAAATTCCTCAAAAATTAGGTAAAAATTATAAATTGTTTTTTATTATAAAATTCTCGATGATCTTCATCGAAAGATATGTTCTGCAACATGTTTGTATTATGAAGTGGATTGAAATAATTAGTAATGAGTGATTGTAGGCACTGAGTAATGGGAGGTACAAGAGTGTGTGGCACCGCGCAATCGTCAATGCTGATAAAGCAAGGATGTCAGTGGCTTCTTTCCTTTGCCCGTGTAATGAAGCCGTAATCAGCTCTCCGGGGAATCTGACAGACAATGGATCGGGAGCCATATACCGAAGTTTTACCTATGCAGAGTATTACAAGAAGTTTTGGAGCAGGAACTTGGACCAAGAACATTGCTTGGAACTTTTCAAGAATTAAAATGGTCCTTTCAAGAGTTGTGGTAAGAATTGTTTTCCTACTATTGTTGTCAATGTCTCCTTGTCTAACGTTTGCTATATGTTTGTGTGTGTTGTGGTACATTAGGGTCATGGAATTATTTTCGAAATAATCACAGTGGTTACATTTTCATAAAATAAAAAATTCCATTTTCATAAAATAAAAGCGTGACATATAGGTACAAGTGACAATGATAAGTAGAATTGGTTTTAATGTATTATCATCGAAGGTTGGAACTTCGATTTTCAGTTCATGCATGTTTTATGGTACATTTCGAAGAATAATGAACAATGTTGTAGATTAACCTCATTTCATCGATGTAATTTGTGGCTCAAGATATATTTCATATTTATGAGATGGTTGATGCTTGAAATGAATATATGGTATATACCAACGAGCCAGTGGCTTAGCAGTATCAGCCTCTTACCTCTCAAAAGGAGGTCAGGGTTTCAAGTCTCACAAGAAACAAGTATGTGTGAGTACCAACTAGTAATATATATATATATATATACACACACATAAATACATATTGGTCATATATACAAGTTTTTGAAATAGTTGATTCCTGGACAATGTTATGAAATGGTCAGTTGCAATAGTTAATGTGTCTCCAAGTACTATTGTTAGACACACATAAATATTGGTCACATATACAAGTTTAGAGTTGGTTATTTGTAAGGGCGGATCCAGGAATTGTCAGTAGGGTGGGCTAAAATTAAACATAAATTTAATAACACAATTTCTTGAGCAAATTTTTTTATAGCATAATCTAGATAAATATTTGAATTCAAATATTACAAAATATCTATTTAAGTTGTACTCGACGAGTCTTTAAAGACTCGAATTCGTCGATAATAGACTCCAAGTAAAATTTTCAAACAAGGTTTTGTACGGTTATGCAATCAGCAAAAAATTCATCTCCCATTGTGCTATGTTTTAACACGTTTCATATTTGATTTTTTTGATTTTAAAGATTGAATTATTGTAATTTTTGTTTGTGGTTTTATTTTATAAATCAATTTGAAATTCTAACACTTATCCATCTATATTTGTTTTATTTAAATCTATAGTAAGTTAGTAACCTTTGATTTGTGAATTATTGGATTAGATGTTTTCTTTTATACTAATACTCATTGTCAACTAGAGTTCAAAATCATCAAATTTTCATAGTTTATAATGCCATAGATTTTTTTGTTTGTTTGTTGAAAACTTTCTAGATAAACACAGAAACTCTGTTTATTTTTCATGATGATTTGAAAGTATTGAAATTATGAATTTATTCTATATATATAATTTCAGAACTGCCTCAACAACAATTTAATCTCAAAATATGTTTTACTTCATATCTTAATACTTATCATTAATAGGGCTTGTTAGGTTTGGGCCTTTGTTTTAGTATTGTGGCTTAGTTGAGTAGGGCTTATTTGGGTGGGCATAATAATTTTTTTTTTTTTTGGGCTGAGCTAAAAATACCCATAGTAATTAAAAAAAAAAAATTTGGGATGGGCTGGAGCCGCCAGTGGTTATTTGTCGTTTTTGTTTTCTAAAATTTTATTTTCTTTACAGAAAATATATTTTAAATTGATTTGAACCATATATTCATAAAATAATAATCATAAATTAGTAGTGGTTATTTGTCGTTTTTGTTTTCTAAAATTTTATTTTCTTTACAGAAAATATATTTTAAATTGATTTGAACCATATATTCATAAAATAATAATCATAAATTAGTCCATTGTGTCCAAATTGAAACAAATTTAAGTATTAAATTTCGGGATACTTTAGTTGTGTCGGACGCGTATCTTGCCACGACACTCCTAGGTTTAGTTGTGTCATGGCGGACACGAATCCTGCCATGACAATCCAAGTGCTTCCTAAGTGGAAGTTGAAGATGTCGGCTATTTGTAGTTTGAGTGGGCTGAACTTTGGGTTCATAAGACAGGAGCCCAAGAAGAGAAGCCCATCATCGTCCTTAGGCTAAAAACAACACAAATGGGCTCATTTCATCCTCTACACACACACACACACACACACACACACATGCATATTTCATGTTCTGTTTTCATGGTTTAGTAATATAATGGTTCTCTTTTGATAATTTAGTTTGATATTTCAATCTAGCTTGCGCTCTAGATTCTAAATTTATGTCAGCCAAATGATTTTGCAAAGGGTAGTGCTATTGTGAGCGCGCTCTCGCGATAGCACTCACGAGCTCTCCATGTTTAGCATATGTTATTCTTGTGATTCGGGAGACTACGCAAACTGATCTGTTAACCGTTGACCCAACACTCTCTGTTAACCCTTGACTCAACTTTTTCTTTTTGCTTAACCCTCAACCCACTTTATCTTTCTCTCTCTTCTTTTGCCTTTGTTTGTTATTGAATACAGTATTAATAGTTTAATTTTTTATTAATTTTTTCTATGTCATTTGGCCCAGCAGTTCCTCGATTTACTCTCTCTCTCCTCTCTCTAAGCTCTCTGCAACTCCTTTTCATTCTTCTCCTTCTCCTTCTCCTTCTCCTTCTCCTTCAATCTTTTTGTTGAGGTATTTTCATGACTAGGATTATTCTGTTTTAGAATTAAAAGAGAATGACAAATATTCAGAAACTATAAGTGCTCAATATTGATTAAAATAACAACAACGATGATGGAAAAAAAATACCTTAATATGTTCATCATAAACGTTTGGACTAGCTAATATTCTCATCCCATCCAAAACCTGGTTTTCCGCGAAGTTGCTCTATTGACAACCATACATTTCTTACGGTTTTAAGATGGAGTTCAACATGATTGGATGAGCATTCAACTCCAAATTTTAAATGTGCTATTTGGTCTATTCCCGCTTTTCACCTCATCCGCAAGAATTTCATCCTCTCCATCTTTTTTGTCCACCTACATTGTTTGGAACCTTCTCCTTTCTTCCTCGTGTCTGTCAATATAAGATAACAATAAAAACAACATGAGCAAATCGGAGACTGAAACACAACAGTCAAGAAAATACAATGCAGACAACTCAACAGCAAAAAAAGGAGATAAAACAATGTAAATGAGACATCTGCATCAGAAAACATCAAAGGAATAGAAAATATAAATCATAAAATATATCTCCGTAGAACTAGAGCAGCACTGTGATAAAATCTAAAACTGGTCCAGCTTCATCTCAATGAGAGCTTCTAAAAGAGTTGTAAATTGTAATACAGCACAGAATCTATCAAATTACATATAACACAACTACGATTTTGAACTGACCCAAAAAAAAAATGTGTACAACAAGGGAGATGAATACAGATCAATTGTCAATTAAGCACGGTTGAATGAGCAACGAAGAGACCCTTCAGAATATGAAGTGAAGATATGCCTTCGGTCAACAGGATTAATGGAAAAGTGAAAATCAAAACTTCACAACACCACCATACCCCCTACAACATGCAAGAGGATCGTCAATTAACCATGTTCCTTTGGTGCTCATTTTAGTGAACAGGGTTTAACAAACACCTAGCAATTCACTTAATATTATTGTGTTCGACGTTGTACCCCATAAAAAGTATGCTAAATAGAACCTTATTATTGTGTCCATCTATCACAACTATCAACTTATCCCATAATCAATCACAGTTGCCACATTGCCATTGATATACCATTCTCATGAAACAGCAAGAATTGGGGATGATCACTATGATAAAATTGTGCAAGATATATAATTTTGACATACATCAGGTTCAAACATCTAGAATCAATTCAAAACTTAAAAAAGTAATCATGTATAAAGATAACGGTAAATTTTCCGTTCCCAACAAAGAACACGAAATAAATACACCAAATTCTCAGGAGCACAAGCAGTGGCTAGTGGTTACCTACAATCTCAAGCAAATTGAAGGATATACCAATTTACTACGATCAGATGGAAAAGCTACCTGCATTATGAAGCCTCTGAGAAATAATTTTCTATTAAACTCATCTAAGAAAACATAACAATGTCAATTCTTCAAACAACATGAAACAAACACCAAATTTTCAGGAGCACCAGCAGTGGGAACCTACAATCTCAAGCAAACTGAACGATATACATATTTACTAGGATCAGATGGAAAAGCTACCTGCATCTTTGAGCAAATTAAAACCCCGGCCCTGATAAAACCTCTGAACAGCACCTCTCAAAGATTCTTTACCACAAGCAAAGTAATCTAAGAAAACACAACAATGTCAATTCTTCATTCAATGTAACAACTCTAAAGTCTACACAAGGAAACAAACCTTTATTAAAAAGGTCTGAATTCCGTGAGGGATCAACTTTGCCATTTGGACTTTCCTTCTTGATAATGTAATGGCCCTACATAAGCAACACTAGTCATGCCCTGAGTAAAGACTTCTCTACCTTCCCAATGAAGATGACAACCCTTATTCGGTTCCTTTTCTCCCATCTCTCCCTTGAATTTCTAAATCAAATCAGTACCTCAAATCAAGCTCAAGTTCTCATTTGTAGCGCTACGGGCTTTTACCACAGCACTGACAAACCAACAGCCCCTCTTCTATTTTGAAGCAATATCATGAAACATATATATAGACAAACACAAATCCGTAGTGGCCATGGGGACATCCCAACATGAAAATATATTTAGTAAAAGAAACTAATCTTGCATTTTCAATACAGACCATTCATTATATAGAGTTGAAATACTTTTTATACGAAACAATTTCACTCAAATTCAACTCAACGTTATAAAAGTTTTAAGCAAACACCATATTTATTATTCGATCCCAATCCTTAGAAGAATTTATTATCAGGAAACATATATACAGACAAACACAAACCCGTAGTGGCCACGGGGACATCCAACATGAAAACATATTTAGTAAAAGAAACTAATCTTGCATTTTCAATACAGACCATTCATTATAAAGAGTTGAAATACTTTTTATACGAGACAATTTCACTCAAATTCAACTCAACATTATAAAAGTTTTAAGCAGACACCATATTTATTATTCGATCCCAATCCTTAGAAGAATTTATTATTGTAGGATAGACCCCTAAAGAACAAGAAGTGGAACCAAAAGACTTTGTTATGATAAAAGCTTCCCTCAAATTTTGTCCAATATTGAATCAGTGTATACTCATGCTTCTCTAGAGACTACAAAAGAACACCAAGTCAAATACCTTATCTTTGATCCCTAAAGAAATACTACGCAGTGCTTGAACAAATGTTTTTTCTTCTTCTGCGATCTCTAACAGAACCATCTATTTCTCAAACAAAGGCGACAAAAATTATTTAACCAAAATATAAAAATATAAAGAGGAAAGGAAAAACACAAACCATTAACCATAAGAAATCCAGTCCCCCTAGTTGATGAACTTTGCCATCAGAATAAGTTACTTACTCCATCGCCAGGGTTACCCCCAGCCATAGAAGGAAGTGTCACACTTTCCTTCCAATCCACCATATAAGCTGAAGGTCTGGTTCCCTGTGGAATGAACCACAAAAGTATTGCCTCCTATAAATTATATCACAGTAAATACAGAGCTGCTCAATCCTGCAATCAATGATACCTCTTAAACTGAAAGAGGAAGTTTGTAATATGACTTAGAACAAGCCATAGAACGCTAGATCAAAAGAAATTAAATGACCTGGCATGGGTTAAACGATATTTCATGAAAGTTGAAAGTGAACATGCAACATCCCACATCGCCTTGGGAGAAAGTTGCTTGCCCTTATAAGTGGGTTTATCTCCTACATGTGAAAACCTGTTTCCAAAACCGTGAGCATGAGAGATGCAAAGGGATAATATCAACACTGCCCGGAATATGGAGGGAGTATGCATAAGCCCAAGACAGTGTGAGTGAGGACGTCAGGGTGGACCCAGGAACTTTGTTTTGGAGGGCCAAACTAGTAAAAATAAAAATGTAGTGGAAATCTTAGTAAATATTCTTAATAAAAAAGAAAATCTAATATTGTATTGCCTATAAACCAATTTTTTTTCATAATCTACAAGGATACACTAGCTTACATCTTGATAATTTCATCATGCATATAAAAAATAAAAAAATAAAAAAATAAAAAATTAATAAAAAAATCATATATCTCCTCAATTATGACACGGATATTTACAAAATAAAATGAAATGTTGACGAAATATCTAATATCAAAATTGTGCATGACAATCTTTTAGAGAATAAAAATCCTCTATAATTGAATAAAAACTATCTTTAGCAATTTATTTTTCAATGCTGACAATTAAGTAATCTCCCCATCTTATTGGAAAGATTCATTTTTAAAAAATTCATAGCTGGAAAAACTCTTTGCTGAGTAGCAGCAACAACACACGATTTTATGACTGCAGTAAAAAATAATAATAAAAATATATATGATCGCAAGTTGCAATAATCCTTTGTTTTAAGATTAAACATATAGGAAGAGAAATAGTCGTCGGAAAACAAATAGCACTAAATGTAGAGTTGGTGATACTTGTCGAAAAGAAATGCAGAGAGTAATGTTATAAATTCAAAGGATCAATAATGCTATCACAAATACAAAATATTTAAGTTTTAACATTCAGGGAAAATACAAGAAAAAGTGGAAAAAGAGGACAAAAAAAAAAAAAAAAAATGAATCAGAGGAAAGCATAACGAATTAGGGTTGAAATAAGAACAAAGAAATTGAAAGAGAGGATTTTTATAAAACAAATTACAGGTAAGAAAGTAAAGAGAGTGAAATAAATAAATAAATAAATGGGGAAAATAAAGAGTATTCAGGGAAAAACAAAAACTAGGGTTTCAAATTGAGAAGAAGAAGTATAAGAGGTTGAGGAGAAGGATGTCAGTGTTAAATGTTGGAGTGTGTTTATCGTTAAACACGTGAGTCTTAATAAGTTTTGGTATTTTGACTAATATTCTGATCCTCATGTTTTAAAAACTCAATTTTTTATTTTTTTCGGAGAGAGAGGTGGGGATTGGTTGCAATTATTAAAACTCCTAAATTCAATTACTATTGTATAGAATTTTATAAATTTTAGGGTGAAATATAAATAATTTAAAAAATCTATTATTTTCTTTTTTGGAGGGAGAAGGGGGGAAAGGGAGGTTGACTCCCCCAGTCCTTTAATAGTGCTCACCCCTAAAGGACTTTAAATCCCAAAGGGGTGATTGTGACATCCCACATCCCCTTGGAAAAAAAGTCGCTGCGCATGTAAGGGAGATGTTTCATATTTGTGTAGACACGTTTTGAAAATTGTGAGCATGGACAGGGTGTAACGTGAACAATATCTACACAGTTTGAGATGGACGGGTCCCGATAGAAAATAAGACTTGAAATGATACAGAAAGAGGAACTAGAAATGAAGATTTTTTCTCTAGACCAATGAAAAGAGAGAAATTTGTCAAGAGAATTATATGTCACAATACCTTTGACTTGATTCCAACACTGCCTATGCTTTTTTACACAACCGGTTTGAAGCTCAAATAAAGGAGGAGGGTAGAGTTAGATAGCTGAGAGTCAGCATAAAACTTTTTCATGACCAATATTAACATGAATCGCATGAATACAAGAGAAAAAGGCAGGGCATTCCGATTAAGCAACAGGTTGCATCTGGTTCGGGATGTTTCGAAAAATGGGCAAGGGGCGCCCATCACTGCGAAGTTGCGATAAAAAATAGGCAAGGGTTCTCACATTTTCCTAGTCTAGCATTGGTAAAGAAGATATCCTAGGATAGGAACTTGGAATATAAGAACCTCGGCGGGAAAAGGAATGAAGTTGGATCATGCTATGATTAAAGGGAAGATTAATATTTTATGTCTAGAAGAAACTAAGTGCGAAGGTGCAAAATCTAAGGAAATTGAAGGCTATTGGTAGAGAACAATGGCTGCAGCCTTTTAAAGATTATAGAAGGTGTGGCAAGGAGGGCTCTAGGCTCAAGGTTTAATTTGGCATGTGC